GCCAGATTGCCCTGCGCCAGTCGGATTAGACACTTGGGCATGCAACTGGTGCGCAAGTGCTCCTGCCCGATGTACTGCACGAAAGCGGTCAGCTTGGCGGGCAAGCCGAGGCTGGCGAGGCGATGGAGAAAGTGGAAACCGCCCAGTTGCCGACGCACGGCGTTGCGTGCCAACATGGTGAGCGTCTGCGGTTGCGCCACCAGAGCCTGGCATTGCGCCTGTAGGCTGGCCAGACGATGGTTGAACTCTTCGCGTCTTTCGCTGTACCGTTTCGAGTAGACCTTGCGCAGATGCAGGTTCTCCAGCGAGTCCTTGAACTCCTCGGGCGACGGGAAGGCGTAGCGCAGCGCCAGGAAGTTGATGAGCAACAGGGCCGTCTGCCGGATGATCGGCGGTAGAGTCCGGCTGGCGAAGGTGCATATCTTCGGATGGCACAAGAGACAGATGAGGATGCCGAACCAATTGCAACAGGGATAGAAGTATTCCATGCACTCGAATTGCGAGAAGCCGTTCTCGATCAACCGTTTCACGGCCGTCATCTCGACGTAGGCGTCCTCGTTCTCGGGAATGTCGGGCACAATTGCGTGCTCATTGGTGTACCGGCAGAGGTATTGGTCGTAGCTGGAGGCGAGTGCATTGAACACGATCACCGAGTCGATCCGATGCACATCGACGCCTTTGTTGAGGATGACGGGCAGATGGGAGAAGTAGAAGGCCAGCGGCGATGGTCCACTCAGGCCGTTGTAGGTGGCCGGCTGTTCGCCGATCAGTTCGTAGATGCTGGCGAAGAAGTAGTCCAAGGCCGACTGGTACGTGTACCGACCGCGGATCCAGAAGCGGCGATAGGAGGCCGTCTGCGATCGGCAGTTGGGCGAGCACAAGTAGGTCGTCCATCGGGAGCAGGTCTGCGGCCGATTGATGTCGAGGCCGTAGTGCTGTAGCAACGGCAACACCTGCCATTGGAGACAGTCGACGGCCCAGAGGACGGGAGAGCACTGTTGGTAGAAGTTGATGAATGGGTCGGAACCGGCGCTCCGATGGTCCACGAGGCAGGGATAGGCCGTGCTGAGGTGGCGCCGCCGGACCACCAGGCTCAGGTTGCTGCGCGACTGGGCCGGTAGACGTTTGAGGACTCGTTCGACGCCGATCAAGTTGCCCTTTTGGATGAGATGGGCCAGACGAGCGTCGGCCTCCTCCAACAGACCGCGTCTGGCGTCGGCGCCGGTACAGAAGCAGAGGCAGCTGGACCAAAAGGAAGAACGATACGTCGGTCGGTGGCGTCGGCCCATGTTCAGCGGCCCGACGGCCAGTCACGCCCAAGTGACCGGACCGTGAGAGACGGTCATTCCGACGGGGGGTCGAGGGAAGATGGGCCGAGAGAAGAGGATGAGTAGGAAGGAGAAGGAGGAGGAGGAGGAAGAGGAGGAGGAGGAGAAGGAGGAGGAGGAGGAGGAGGAAGAGGAGGACGTCCGAGGCGACGTGGTCGGCTGCATCCAGTCGCTTGTGTGGCTGCCTTCGACAGACAGAAAGGTGGGCGGTAGAGCAGAGACTGCCACTGGCTGCCGTGACGACAAAACGTT